GGCCTCGGAAGAGCGAGCGGCCGCCCGATGACAGCCAGGTGATCGTGTCAGGGAGAGGGAGCCATGGCTTCGTTTAGCGGAGGTCGTGACGGCGCCCCCCCTCAGTCCTGCGCCCGTGGCAAGTGACCCCCCCGGTTGTTACGCCACTGGAGCCAGCCATGATGTCATGGATGGCTCTGCTCAATTGTTGTCATTTAATGACAGCCCAGCAGCAGCATGATTGGCGGGTGCAAACGGGTCAGCGGGCGTCTGGCTTTTTATTTCGGCAAGTCGGCGGCGAGCATGTTCGGCTGAACCGAAGCCAGCCAATGTACGGCTGATTTTAGCCGATGTATGGCTGAAATCATCCGTACAGGGCCGAAGTGAATGGCTGAACGCCATTCGCTCGGTTATTAGCTCGGCTGCCTTCGGTAGCTTAGTGAATAACTCCTTAAGCAGGTTTGGGCTAACTCAGGTGAACTGGGTTCACACCATGCCCAGCCTCATCTCTAATCACAAGAAGTGTTACCAGCCCACCTCTGTGAACAGCAATACACCTTCCACCTATGTTATGGAAAAGAAGGTGAGGGAAGGGTTCTGAAGTCCTGTGCTTGGGTGACAAAGCTGCTCCCCCATAGATACAGTACACATAAGAGAATGTTTCCACCCTAAGACAGGAAGTGTGTTCCTGGCAGGATCATCAGCTGAAAATAAAGAAAAACCTAAAATAAATGTAGACACCACATCTAAGAACTAGTAAGCTGCAATATAATACATTTTTGTCCATCGGATTAGATATACTTTGTAAAAAATAACTAAAGTGGATTTCTAGGCAAAACCTTTTTTTTTAGTTTTGAATAGAGAAAGGGTTAGACCCCCTGTCAAGCTTTTATTGCTGTCCGTGTCCCTATATCCCCCCCTCCTATTTGTACTGGTGGCCATTGCCACTGAGACAGAATGTGAGAGGGCTCCAAACTTTTAGAGTTGTCCCCAGAACAAGGGGTGATGGAAAATCTTCCAGTGGGGTCACTTGCTTCAGGGACAACTGCCTAAGAGGGGAATTCTCCTCACTTTGGGAGATGTCTTCTAACTTCCTGTTGCACCTCCTGTACAGGAAGTGAAGGAAACATTTCCCCCAATGGAACACAGACAGAAAAAAAAGCATTTTAAACCTTCCCTATTCTATCCAAAAGATATGTTACTATACATATATTTGAACATATTCACACCTACACAATATTTACTCAAATGCAAATTACAAACAGATTAAACAATTCCTTACAGCTTGGAGAAGTGAACACAAATAGAGAGATTTGAGGAATATGCTCAATAAACAGGTAAAAAAAGCATCAAAGTAATCATTGTCCTCATAATATCTCTGCAAAAGCAATATTTGTATGTCTCCTCACACTGCGGCAGCTGGAAAGTCTATGACGAATCTCCTGTACGATCTGCACCACACTGGTTGTGTGTGAGCCCCCTACAGGCACCAGATAGAACAGCACCATAGAGTTTTAGTCGTGGGATAGAGCGCCACACCACAGAGAGGTTCCTTCCACCGAGCAATCGGTAGTATTTCCGGTGTTGGTAGAGGTGCACTTCCGGCTTAACAGCTATGGCTTTGGAAACGGTTCCGAAAGATTTGCGGCACCTAAGAGCGTGTTTATTATGTTCTCTGGTGAAGGTGAGGGGGCTGGGTTTTGTATATAGAAGGGAAATAAGCTGACTTCTTATTTATGCCTATTGTGTTGTTGTCCCACATCTTTAGAACTCTCTGCATTGGAGGCAAGCTGTGACTTGTAGTTCTGACGGTTGTATACAAAGGAGATATGTTGCACTAGCTGTATGTACATGTGATAGCAGCTCAGGAGGTGTACACAATAAAGGCAGCTCTGTAATCAATAGGCAGGCACATTTATTTCAGGTTGCACCCTAAGATCAATGATGCTTACCAACAACTGGGTACTTTGTTTTTATTTTGTATAGAGCAGGAAATAGTTAAAGCTTTAGTTTGGGGGGAGGGGTATGTAGCACCACACACATAGGTGTGTATCCCCTTAGATTATTTGTAAAATCTTCCCCTCGCTGCCCCCTCTCATCCAGCGAACATTGACCGCAGCTTCTGTCTTTTGGCACTGTGAGAGTCAAAGTAGTATTAAACTCTAAAGCTGGCCATACACCTTACAACCATCGCACGACTTTCGTTGTGCGCTGGTTGTAAGGTCATTAAAATTTCGTACGACCTGCCCTTCTTAGACAGGCAGATTGTACTTGCGATCATCGCAAGCCCGCCCCGCTGAGGGGAGGGCTTGCCGATGATTGCAATGCTGAGCGGGCAGTGTGCGCTTGTGCACACCGGCCCGTGCGGCTTTCATCTTCCTAGCACGCCACCAACCGGCCGAAAATGGGTAGATTTTTGGCGGGTTTTCCAGACTAAAGTCGTGCGAACGTACAGTAGATGCGGTCACACGCTGCCCATACACCTGCCGATTATCGTACGATAATCGGCAGGTGTATGGGCACCTTAAAACTTGTTTTCAATAATGAATAGAGATCAATCAAATATACATTACCCAGCAAAGTATTTCTTTACATTTGTGTCCTGACACTTAGTCGTATTTCTAAACAGCTGGATCCAACTCTCTAACCTTCCCTGTACATCTTGTCCAGTACAAGGGACAGAGCAATCTCCATCAGTTGTCCATCTACTAGGTTGAAGAAGGGGGAGAGGGGAGCAGTGGAGTGTCTTGCCTTGCTGTTTGTGGAGAGACACACAGCTTACTAGCACACAAGGGTGGCTCCATAGGACCCTGCAAGCCACTCTAAAACCGGATATCAGGACCAGTGCTCAGGAGACCAGCTGATTCTGAAAGGAAGCTAAAACTTTTAGACAGCAAGGAGCAGTGGCCATTGTAAGTGATGTAATCAGCATTTGAAATAGCTTAGAAACTTTTTGACTTGGCCCACCCCATCTACACTCACTGCTTTTAGAAAGCTAATTTTACTATTATCCCACAATGCATCAGGTTCTGTGAATAGGAGGAGCTGAATGACAGAATGTCCACCGTCCGTTCACTGAACTCGATACATTGTGGGGTAATAGTAATGCCATGTTGATTACTTGGTCTTCTCCCAGGTTCAGGCATATTCAGCCATTTTGATGGGCTGGCCCAGGATGACATAACTCTTGCACATTAGAGCTGCAGCTAACGATTATTTTCAAAATCGATTAGTTAGCCGATTATTAAGTTCAATTAATCGGTTAATCGGATAAACTATAAAATAAAGTTTAAAAAATGGCTCCAGTGATGGACTACTAGTTTGTATTGAGGTTGTAGTCCATCACAGGAGCAAGCTTGGACCGGTGGAAGTAAAAAAGAAAA